TAGGCCCAGACACGGCTAGTGACGTCAGACTTAACGACCGGATTGGAAAGATGGACAAATCTTGGACAAGAATCTCCTTCACTCAGCCGAGGCCTGACAAACGCATCATGGGCAGGTCTTCCAGTAGGACACTGATCCAAAGCATATGCCAAGACAACAAAGGAGTCCCTCGAGAAGAAGAAGCACATCATAGTCTCGAGGTGGAGTAGCATTAAGAATTTGGAGAAGATCAGGAAAGAGGAGATCTGAAAACTCAGCTCAAACCTAGCAATAGCTATAAGAAATATCTAAAAGCTGTGCTTGCTAAGGATGGTTACTCCACCAAGTAACAAATGTGATCAAATACTTATACCTCATTAAATGCACATTAATTCATAAGTGTTGCACAATGTTTATTTCTATTATTGTGTGTGGATAATGTAGCTTTCGATCTTAACCCTCTGAGGTATCGGTCGTCGTAGATCATAAACCTAGAGAAAGGCAAAACCTAACTCTTTGGGGGGAGAAAAACAGATGTATAGTTTTAGATTATTAGATTATTTTCTTTGTTCTGGGAGAATAATACCATTAAAAAAACCTCAATTCTGATTGGCTAGGATTAGGGCTAGGGTTAAATAAAAAAACATTCCATTGTTAGATACATTGTTTGTAAGCGGTTAAAATAATGAATTCATCCCCACTGGATTGTTGCAATGTGTCTTATTGTTTTCACAGCATAAACCAGATAAATGCTCCCACTCTCGATGTCAGCTGCATGTCCCACCCCTCCATCTGACAAGCCAGCACGGCTACTGTTTGAAACCCTTCAGCACCCCAGCAACCAACTGTAGGCTCCACAGGGGATAATTACTCATCACTCATGAGTGATGACGACTAACCCTACCAATGTTCAGCTGCTATAACATATAGTCACTGTGACTGCTTATGTTTAAAATGTTATATTACAAGCATAACATTTCAAGTGTTTGACTTTTCTGAAAGTAAGACTTCAGGAAAATAACTTTTATCGATGTCATAGCTGTATATTGATATTTAAATGAAAACAGTAGGTGTTTAGTAGGAAATCACATTGGATTATAAAATAAAAAAACATTGTGATTTTATACAGTTTAACTCAGTGTTTCACTGTAATTGATGCCCCTGCCCCTATTTTATCCCAGTGCGTTACACTTTGAGTTTCCTTGTCAGGGCCTAGGTGGATGAAATGACAGCTTCCTGCCTCAGTTGTAGGTGATGTGTAGACGGAAGTGTAGGAAAGACCGAGAATCGGTTGCTGTATAGAGAGAGAGAGAGAGAGAGGAGAAATCCCTTGCTCACTCACTCCCACACCTTTTTCTCATGCTGTATTCTGGCTCTGGTACCCCTGCTGCAGCAGTAAGACTCCAGCAAGCAGTGAGTGACGCCGCGATTTCTTCACCGTCTATTTCCTCAGAGAACGATTGCATCAAATTCAACTTCTTTTCTTTTTCAGTCAGGGGAAAGACTCTCCATTCAGTCAAAACCTTTTCACCTTTTCTTCAGATCTGAGACATGAAGATGGAAGCCTGTTGAGCCGAATCTGTGCCGACTAGGACTGTGAACATTTTCTCAGTAGAGTTTGAAGTATATCATAACTTTTAATCTCTTCCAACACTGGCTGTCATCGCTCTCAGAGTCGCGATTGTGGAATTTGAGTCTTTAAAATGGATCGAGGTGGATCTGTGATGTAGATCCATCCTCTAACCATCTCTTTGCTTTTCGTAGAGGAACTCTTATGGAAAAACAGTTAACACCAACCAATTTGTTTTCCTCATATGCTGCCATGTTGGCCAGAATCTTCATTCCCAAGAAGCACCGGCAACGCTTCGACGACACCGTCTCCCAGAACGTGATCAACCGACTCTGCCGCAGCAAGAGCATCAGCGAGCCGCATGGCAGAATCCGTCGCAGTCGGAGCGAGGATCACTCCGACCGCCACCGCGGGTCCAAACGGGCCAGTTCAGTGCCAAGGGATGGAGGAGAACCCGGAGGGAGGGGAGAAGCGGAGAGAGACAGGGGCTTAAGGAAGTCCGTCTCAGGGATACCCGTGCATCCCCCTATTGGACCCAATCAGAGGTAAGCACACATATCAAACACAGCAGGTTTCATGAGTCCTTTCGCTCGGTTTTAAGTGTTGTTAACTGTTAATTCATAATTCAAGAGCCGAGAAGTCCCTTTCAGGGACTGCTTTATCTGTTATCGTGTGCTAAAACTCCTCTTCCTCAGAGTTTTATAAAGCTGCACTTAGAGCAAGTCTGTGCATGCACAAAGATGTTCACACACAGCTGCGTATTTGTTTCATTTAACAAAACATCACATTGTAACCATCTTCTACCATCTTCTTGGTTGTTTCTTGGCAACCATCCTACATGGGGTAGACTCTCCCCCTGACCATTTGACACTTTTCCTCCACCCACTAACACACTTGATTACATGACTGTCCAGTTAATAACACCACAGTGGACGTGGTGCAGCACAGGACTGTGGCAGTAAATCTCCATAGCGAGCTAACTAATAAAATCCTGGGGTCTTTGAGTATTCAGCAACAGGAGGTCTTAAAAAACATGTGGCCCTTTATGTCAAGTGTGATCATACAGGTCGGGCACAAGGCAGTAGGAGGTGAGTTGATTGTGTTAAAGGGGCATCATGTGTCAGTAAGAAGTCGCGCTGCATTGCTGCTGCCTTCCATGCGCTGAATAAACCCAAAAGACTGTTGTGTAACACTGTTGTGTCTCCACAGTAACTGGAAATATGCATAGAGCAATGAGAGAGAGCGAGAGACAGAGCTAGAGGTGGGAACAGAGAGATAGATATAGATATCAACAGAAAAAGAGAAGAACAGAAGTAAGGAGTAAACAGATGTAGAGATGGAGATCGATGGCAATGAGAATAGAGAGATGGGGAATACAGGTAAACGGAGTGATAAAGAGTGATATGAGGTGATGATATAGATGCAGTCTATATATTTATATACGAAATATTATATATACAGAAGGAAATAAATATAGATAAAACATATAGGAACGAGAGAATTCAAGAGACTGCATAACTCTGTAACAGCTGGAAATCTGCATAAATTAAAGTGAGCCTCTGAATCCAAGAGATTATTTAGGTTTCCTGACATCATCGGGACCATGTCCCCCAGTTTTCCCCATTTCCAGTTATCTGGCAATACTAAGGAGTTGTCAAAAAAACCTTCAAAAACACCAGATTTTGGATGTGGATCTAGATAGGCTGTGAAAGTTAGTTGCTTCTAAGTTGCGCCAAACTGTCCATAACTTCATTAGTAATCCTGCCAGACAAACAAACCGACCACAAAAGCCGATTGGCAGAGGTGAAGAAACAGTGACAGACAGATGGCCGAAGGCAGGGAGATAGAAATAGACCGAGAAACATGGTGACATTTAGGTAGAGAGATGGAGAAAGAGATCGATAGACCAGTGGGATACAGGTGGAGAGAGATGTCGACATAACATTTCGGGTAAATCCACCCCCAGATGTGTTGTTGTACAAAATGTTCTACTGACTATTGATACACAAAATCAAGCACTATAGGGTGGTAGCTGTCTGTATCGTGTGTGTACAATGTGACGGTTGTTGATGTACTAGCAGACTTTACCTTTTCAGAGTGCATTCAGCTGAGGTCATGTGAAATTATATATAAGTGTATGAAGCTCTGCTGGTGTAACCCAGAGGGAACGAGGAGAGGCCTCAAGCAGCCTGATAGTCACAGACACTTAGTTTGTCAAGTGTGCTCAGAGCTGATGCTGTGAGCTCTTCTTTTTTTTTCTAGTCAGCCCTCAAACACACACACAAATCCACATTCAGCACCCAGTGTGCCTTTCTGCATTTAGCTTGGCTTACATAAGAGCGTATAACCACGGCTATCAAAGAATAGGTTTGTCTCTTTTCTCTTGTTGTCTTTTTCGCCTTCCTCCTGTTTATATACCAAAGCAGTGTTGCCTTTAGTTATCTCCATGGCAACGCTCCACGGATAGACTGAACGAGCCTCATCTTTGATACACCGGGAGGTTTTCCGACGCGTATTCTTCCGACTGGGGTGAATGAGAGAGAGGAGCCCCGCATTTAGCAAAATGTCAAAGCTATTCTGAACATGTCCCAAATTATTTTATTCAAGCCGGAAACAAAAAACAATGTCTGGCATTCAAGCAGGACTGATTTGGGTTACGTTAGAAAATTGTCAGCTTGGATCGCAGCAAACAGAGGGTCACGTCTGTGCTTGTTCAGACTCCCACTTACAGGAAGTGACAAAAGCAAAAACGAAGCGCAGGCAGGATTGTAAACAACAGCGAGTGAGTGCTCACTCCGGGGACAGCTGGGCTTCCCATTCATTCATTCACAGCCATCGATGCTGTTAAATGACGTCACGAGCAACACTGAGATTTTGTTTGACTGATCACTTTTACAAATTCCACACATTTTCCACTTCCAGCTTTTTCTTCCTTTGTTTGCGTTTTAGACTGTTCACATTTTGACTAAATGGGTGATGAGGGAATCAAAAGAGCCAAAAAAATAAATTACAGGTTTTGGTTACTGCTCAAATTGAAAGCTTTTAAGTCGGTTAAAGGTGCTGCTTTTGGAGGATGGATTGACGCAAGCACAAGAAATTCGAAAATTTGATTCAGCAGAGAGCGTCGGCTGAAAGTGTTCAGAACAAAGGAAAAATGCTTTGCACATAAATGCCATGAATGCGCTCTGCTTCATGTAGAGTTTGTGTCACCCTCTTTGAAAGTTGAAGGCCAGTAGACAGGCACAAAGCTTTTCGTTGTTAGAAACATTTAGTCACGAAGGTTTTTCAGAGAGCTCTAAATCTGAATGAATGAACTGCTCATCTCACTTCCTGCCTGCATCCCTTCCTCAGGATCATCCGTGTCTACAGGGGGAAGAAGCACTTTGGCTTCACGCTGCGGGGTCACGCTCCCGTCTGCATCGACTCCGTCATCCCAGGTACTGCTTTTATAAAAAAACCAAGTACAGTGCAGTCCTGACTGACGCCTCCTCTCTTTGTGTGGCGGCTTTTCACTCGTGCGCCGTTCCGTGTTGTGGGCGGTGAGGGGGGCAGATGTATTTTACGCGAGTGGGGCTGTTGTGGTGCCAGCCGCTCGGGGCCGAAGGCGATCAGGAGGCGTTTGTGTGTGTGTGAGACTGTGAGTGTTGCCGGAAGTGGACTTATCTGACTCACTAGTGAAATGCTAACAGGCTGTACTATGCGGCAGCAGGTACACCTGTGATCAGTCAGTGCCGCACAGATGTACTTTATATTCTGTTTATTGCTCTTCCTGTGCAGTTTAACTGGTCACAGGGTGGAGGAGTAAATCCTTTGTACATCAAGTCATACTGCAAATATATTAGTGTCATATACTTACAATGAAGGGCACTCAAATGCTTCTGGGACTGAGGACAAGACAAAACAGCTTGCTGTGGTAATCATCTCTTCTGGAGCTTACTTACCAACAGGTTTCATCGTTAATATTTAAGCCATGCAGAAAACGTCATCTTAGAGCTGTCAGCTTGGGGTTTTGTGGGCAGTTAAATGCCTGATAGCAATCTAGCCAGCCTAGCTGTTGATCTCCTTGTCTAACTCTGGTCAAACATGCAATTAGGCTGATTTCCCATTTGTTCTTTTTCTTGTTGTCGACTATTTCTACAAGCAGCCATTGTTTAATATGTTTTTCCTTTATAGACTTGCATCAACATATAGGGTGACTATAAGGCCATACTGAACGACTCTCACAGGCGGTTTTTGCTTGTTTTATTAAAGCTAGCTTTTAAATCTAATTTCCACTTAGAGCTTATGTGAAATATTCATAATTACTTTCTTAAGTTTCCCGCAGTAAAAGGTTATTTAATTCACAGTTATTGCTTTTTGAAGCAAAACTAGCAGACAAGGAGGCTGTGAAGCTACTGCTGAGGGAATTTGCCAGGTTCCTTGGTGAGGAAGGCGGTGTGCGTGTGCGTTGTGTGTGTGTTTGACGATGACGGCACTGCTCCCGCCCACCATCATCCCCCACCAACATGTGCTGAAACAGCCAGAGCGGACTGACTCAGTGGGCCCTTGTGGAGGTGGGTGGCATAGTTCTCATCGTGATCTGACCACAGATTCTTTGCCGATAGCCCGGAAGCCACAACCCCGTTTCCCCATTAAGACTTTACTGCATCCAAACTTTGGGTTAAAAAAGAACAAGGAAAAAAAACAAATGACGTGACAGCTCCTCATCCGCAGTGTGCTGACAGATGAGGAGGCGATGGGTACAGTGCAGTCAGAACTTATTCTGCCAGGGATTGTTTTGACAGCACTGTTTCCTTACGTAATAAGATTTAGCATGGAGCTCATCTTGTTTGTTGATGGGCTTTGTTGGATCTCATACACAGATTGACAGCATCACATTAGTCACCATCTCTCCCCCCGTTGTGCCCGTCTGTTCTGTGCACCTCGTTAGCTGGAAGGATTGGTTTCAGGGGGTTTTGTTCAGTCTCTGATTGATGTTTGATTTTCTGCCATCTTTGTCGACCTCTCAGATAGTCCTGCAGAGGAATGTGGACTGAAACCAGGCGACCGTATCCTCTTTCTCAACGGACTGGACATGAGGTTTGTCTTTAATGGAAATTATTGTTAGCAGCAGTAGTAGTTTGTAGTATTTTGCCTTTCCCTGCTGCCCGAGTTCTTGACCTTACACAGTATATTTAGACATCAGCACTTGTTTTTCTCCAGCAGAAGCCATCTGCTGCCATTTATTCTGCCTCAGTATGAAAAACAGCTCTCACTGAGCCAGATAATCCATCACAAACACATAACCCTTCTGATTTTTTTCTGACGTAGATTCTCCTCGATATTTTCACAAGCACATGACGCTTCTATTTTTTTTCTGAACACTCTCCTTCGTAGTTTCTGTGCTGAATTTTATGAGATTTTCATCATAGAAACAGTTTGTGGACTGTGTCTTCAGCTGTGCACCGCAAGACCATAGGTTTTAGTAACTGTTCATCACTACCCAAACAAATCTCACATTAAATACAAAACAATCTCAGAGCCTAACTTTAGACAGTTTTTTTTCAGCACACAATTTAAAGTCTAGTTATCAGACTCTTTACTTTGATGCAAATCAACCAATAATCCAACATATGTATATCAAAGAAAACACAAAAAGCTCTAGACATGCTTGAGTTCTGTCTGTAAGAGAACAGTGTTTATTGCTTTCAGCTGTTTACAGGATTTCTTCCTCTGATTTTATACCTGGAGTTTCATAAAATGATCTAAAGCAGCAGGATCCATATGAGTATCCCCACACTGCATTTTTACATATTGCACAGCAGCACTAACTTTATTGATCAGTCAACAC